ATGTCTGGAGTGTCACATTTAAATCCCTTGTTCAGCTGACTGTGTCTGGGATACAGTGAATTCAGCCAGACCATTAGAAAAATTGATGGCTCTGGTATTGGCAGCCTCATGTACCATCACTGTGTAATCCCAGTGAAAATGAGCATCTATTCCCTTCTGGGGGCTTATCCCATCCCTGCCACTGTGGACACAGACTCTTGCAGCTGCTGATGAGGCTGGACAACGACTGAGTACTTTTTGAGTGTGTGAATGGGTTTATTATCTAGGAACTGGGTAACTCTGAGGGATTCTTAGGCTATTCGAACATATTTTTGATATTTCAGAAGGAAAGGTTTCCTGTAAGATTTATGTTTTTAAACTACTGAGGCGTTTCTGAGAGCATGTCTCAAGCTCCCCCCGCCCCCCAACAGGTCCCTGCAGATGCCTTTGTGGCTGCATATTCCTGTGCCAGGGTCCTGTGCCAGCCCCTGGACCAGGGAGATTTGTGCTGCAGTTTTCTCTGTGTTTGCTGCATTCTGCACTGACAGAGAAAGTAATAAGGGAAAAATCATTCAAGTCTAAACAAATTTATCGCAGAAGATGTGAGTGGTGGCCGCAGGCCAGAATTATTTGCTAAAAACTTGAAGGGCCTCCAGGCTAGATGAACAGGAGGGTATTTCCTGGGGACAGGAAGGAAACGACTTGACTTTGTGATACCTTCACCTTCCCACAAGCCTTGACAGTCTAATTGGCTTTCTCATCCAGATGGAGGCAGCAGAAATCCTGATTACCTATTGTTCCCTTTCCCTGCATTCAGCATTTACTGTCTCCTCTCTGCTATTCAGCCCTTCCTTCTCCGGAGGAGCCAGCAGGATACAGATTATGGCATGATTATATTCTCCTCTAACCTGCATTTTAGGCAACTATCAGTGCCAATCCAAGTATTTATGCCATTGTACTCCTGTGTGAAACGAGGAGCTTGAATGTTATGTCTGTGAGGATGTAACAGAGCTGGAATATCTGTGTCTGTGTGTGAGAGAGCCAAACCTACTCACTCATCTTTATCTCTCACCCCTCTATCTGCCTGATAAATACAAACTAGTCAAAACTGTCTTAGTTTTCAGATTTCACATTTGATTCTTCCTCATCACAGAATAATCACATCATGTTTACAACCTAATAACACCTCTCAAATGCTCAACCATGTGGTTGCACTGTAAGGGAGACCTTGATGGTTGCAGTAGGTCAGAGCTAAGTTCCTCCAGCTCAGCACCCCATCTCTGGCCTTGGCCAACAGCAGATATTCAGAGGTGAGATATAAGAACATAGCAGAGCTCCCCTTCCCAAATCGTCTCATATTTTTCAAATATACTGATATTTTTTTCGTTGACACCCACCTGTGACAGTGAGATCCAGAGCTTCATCATGTGGAGAATTAAAAAAAGTACTTTCCTTTGCTCTAAAGTTCCATTTGATGTCTCCTAATTTTGAGGTTATGAAAAATATTCAGTAATTGTCCCCTCTTCAGCATGACATTCATCCTGCCCCTTTTCTCCGTCATCTCCTTTCAAAAGTGACAAATCCTAGTCTATTTTCTGTCCTTGGATAAAAGCTGTTCCCTACCTTTGATCATAATTGTTGCCCTTTTCTGTACCTCTTCTGGATATAAGGCCTCTTCCTTTTCTGAGGTGGGGATGGGGAGGGGAAAACAAGAACTGCATGCAGAATTCAAGACATGAGTACCCTATGGATTTATAAAGTGGTAATGAGGGGTCTTGTTTTATCTTCTATTTCTGTCTCAGTAATTCCTGTGATCCTTTTTGCTTCTTTGGCTACTGCTGAGCACTGAGGCGTCAGAGCACACTAAAGTGGGGAACCTTTTCTTTATGACTTGTTTCATGTCTTTTAATGAACTCTCCTAATCCAGAGGAAAAGGACACAGTTCCTACCTATTCCCACCTGGAACAGTGCCCAACGTGCCTGTCTAGTGGAAATGGGGGGATATTAATGCTCTGAGATTTCAGGGAGATAACAGCCTGCACTTCCTTTCAATAGATGTTTTTCAGGCACCTAAACTCCAGCTCCACAGCTGTGTGAGGTGGGTAAAATCATTAAATGGATTTCACAGATGGAGAAACTGAGACGGAGAGATTTGTCTGATTCACTTCGAAACTGTCACAAAACCAGGAACAGACCTGAAAGTGAGACCAGCCTTTCCTTCCACTGCCTGCTCCAGGGACTGTCCTCACCTGGGGCTCCATGGCCACACAGTGTCTTGTGTCCCTACTCCTGCACCTTGCAGTCTTTAGCACGCCATGGAAAAACAAGAGTCCCTGCTCCAGTACATCATCCTATCCTATCCTATCCTATCCCATCCCATCCCATCCATAACTATTCTTTCAAGCTAGCAAAGTTGCCAGCAAAGTAAGCCACGATGTATTTTGAACTGTCCTATTTCTCCTCATATTATTTCAGACTGGATCATGTGCAATAAATCAGAGAATCAAAGAATGGTTTGGGTTGGAAGGGACCTACAAAAGCCATTTAATTCCAACCCCCCTGCTATGAGCAGGGACATTTTCCACTACATCTTTCCCCCCAAATTCTCAAGGGATGCATTGCCACAATAGTTTTTTGGTGGCACAGGTGAACTGTGAGCCTGATTCTAGAAGGTGCTTAGTGCTCTCAGGACCTCAATGAAGCTACTTTGGGATCTCACACCACCTGGGCTTTTATTCCTGACTGGTTTTAATGAGAAGGCCTGGATGGTTCATGGAGCTGACAAGTGCATCATTATGAAGCCTTTTAATAGACATCAAGGGCATGTAGTGATAGATCAAAGGACAAATGTAGTGAGAGGACAAGAAGAATGGCCTTAAGCTGAAGGAGGGAAGATTTAGCTGAGATTTTAGGAAGAAATTCTTTGTTTTAAGGGAGGTGAGGCCCTGGCACAGGTTGCCAGAGAAGCTGTGGCTGCCCCATTCCTGGATCCAAGGCCAGGGTGGACAGGGCTTGGAGCAACCTGGGATAGTAGAAGGGATAACCCATTTTCCAATCTCAGCAGCAAATGCAGCAGCTAAATGGGCACAGACACAGAGGTGTATCCTCAGCTGATCTCCTGCTAGAACAAAACATGCATTGCAAAGGAAACTTCTGAAACTTTGTCTTGAAAAAGATGCTGTTCCATTTTTTTCCTGTGGAGAAGAAATCTAATACTGTCAGCTTGCACTCTGGGGATTTGTCTGCAGTAGTGCCAGATGAGAGAAAAGTGTCACTGCCAGCATATGCTGCCTTGACATATCTGACTGCCTAAAACTGGGAAACAACTCTGTGAGCTCGACAATTGTAAAAAGAGCACATTAGAGAAGAAAGAAAATACTTCTAATGTGGAGGAGAGTATTTTCTCTCGAGAGTTATGAATTTTTCAGGTAGCTCTGAAACAAAGACATCAGTGAAGACTCTGTCCCACATGGTGCAAGTTTTTCCCTGTGGACCTTACAGCACTCGGATCCCTTTGACTAAAATACTGAGAGCACTGCATTATATTTTTACATATAATTTTCAATTTTGCATATATTTTTACAATGAGAATGACAGGTGAACGCTGACTGCCACGATCCATGCAAGGGGTTAATTAGATAAACTTGTGGAAGGTGCCAGATACATAGTGAAGCCCCTCTCTGTGTGGGAATGAGCCAAAGGAATCCCATCCACTACAGCAAGTGGGTCATTCCCACAGGGAAAGGGGTCCTGGTAACCCACTGTTTGCTCTCTCTGCTGCTGTCAGTCCCAGAGCTCCCTTATAAAAGCCTTGACAATGCCACTATTGCACAAAAAGCAAAATGAAGGGAAAAAGATTCCAGCTACTCATGCTGTTTGTAGATAAATTAAACATAGAAAAGGCTGAGACAGCTGGAAATCTGACAGGAAAACTGGGTTTTCCAGGGAGAACACTAGAGCCAATTTACAGTTAATTACTGTGATTTGGAACAGCTCTGTGAGTAAATACCAGTCTCTGATTGTCCAAGTAAGAAAGATAATTGTTTCCTGAACTGTGTCCATTGTATACTTAAAACGTTGTCAGCCTATTCCTTTCTCAAACTCGGAAGAGGTTTGTTTTTTGGTGATGGGAATCTGCTACTCTTCTGACAGCAAGCAGCTAAAATCCTAATGCTGACCATCACACGTGCCACGAAGGCAATTTATTGAGCCACCTCTCCTAATGATGAGGCTGCTGGACATGCGTGAGTTCACAGCTGCAAAGCAGCCCTGACATCAATGGTGAGACAGTTTTTGGGAACAAGGAGGACTGGAAGGCCACCAGGCACTGTCAGCTCAAAAATGTGCCAAACACCACATTACTACAAAGGGCATAGAGAGGGATGTGCAGCAAGAGAAGGGATGGCTCTTGGAAAACCCCCCAGACTGTGTCATCTATTCCTTTTTTTTTCCTCTTTAGAGCAACTAGAGGGAAAATGATTTGTAGAGATTCCGCTAACATTTGTAAAATGAGTAGAATCATGGAATCCTTTATGTTGGAAAAGCCCTCTAAGACCACCAAGTCCAACCATTCCCCCAGCACTGCCAAGGCCACCACTAACACATGTCCCCAAGTGCCACATCCACAGGTCCTGGAAATCCCTCCAGAAGGAATAAACCCCTGCCCTGGGCAGCCTGTTCCAGTACTTGACAACATTTTCAGTAAAGAAATTTTCCCTGATGTCCAATCTAAACCTCTCAACTCAACTTGAGGCTGTTTCCTCTTGTCTTCTGACTTGTTACCAGAGAAAACAGACTGATTGACCCTCACCCTCCTGTCAGAGAGTTGCAGAGAGCAAGAAGGTCCCTCCTGAGACTCTTTTTCTCCAGGCAGAGCCCCCACAGCTGCCTCAGCCACTCCTGGTGCTTCAGACCCTTCACCAATACTGATACATTGATTAAAAGGGAAAAAAAAACCAAAAAAACACCTTACCATGTTATAGGGTGGTTTCTTAAGCAGAATTAGTGAAATATTGGCTCACCTGAGTCCAGAGCAGGTGCTGAGGCTGACGGAGGAGTCGGGGTCCCCTTGCACAGTGCCATGGTAATAGCAGTGACCCTGATGGCAAAAAACAGAAAACATTTCAATGGTCACAAATGCTCTTTGCCCTCTATTTTTTTTATGTGTTTCCATCCCTTTTATTTCAAAGGGATTATCAGTTTCAGGCTACAGCATTCAAGATCACACTGACAGCACCTTCCATGTCCCACAAAATATTCATTGAGCTTAACAGGCCAAATGGTTCCTAAATGGGAAACTTGGGTTCTTTGTAAACCCTAAAAACCTAGAGGTTGTTTGTTTTGTTTGAATTTGTTTTTTTTTTTAAGAGAGTCAATGGTGTTTAATTTGTGTGACTGACCATCTTTTTCTGCGTTATTTTATTTAAAGCTACAATATGGAATATTTTATAAAATTAATCAGATGAAAAAATCAGCTGCCACATTTCACTTCTTTCTATAGACCCTTATTTTTATTTAAAAGCATTTACACCTTTGTATCCACATAAGGGATAAATATGTATAAAAAAAAGTATAAAAAGACAATCCCAACCCCATTATTTGAAAAAAAATCACAGAGCAAATGAAAGGGAAGGGAAACAAGCTGGAAAGGAAATCTTTTATTGAATTACCCAACCAAATAGCTGTGTGTTATTAAGAACAACCAAGAATAAGAGGGTCTTCTATTTTGAGAGGCAACTGTCCAATTTAATTTTGTGGCTCGGTTATTGTATTTCTTTAATAATTCACTGCTTGCAAAAGGCACCCACAACAGAGATAGTTTCTGAGCACACACACATATCTGTCTGGAATCAAGGCTAATTTTATTGTTGACTAAAGGTTATATTACATTCCCAATTATGTGACTGGCTGGAAAGCAATGACTGTGTCCCATCCAGCGTTTCTGTTCTCATGGCTCCTTTGAATGCCACCTGGAAACTGAAAATGCTGTTTAAAAGGTTCCTCTCTTATTAGTGCAAAGGAAAGTTATCACTCCTGCTTCAACCTGACAGCCATCTCACTGTGCCTTTTTATTACTTGGTCCATTCACATCCATCCAGCTGCATTAATTAACCTTTTCAGTCTGGGGCCATGGTTTTCACTTACAAAGCCTTCTAAAGACCACCTTGATTTTGGTAAAGAAGGCAAAAGCCATAAAAATGCTGGGCAAGATGGAATGACTCAGCTATGAATTTTCTGCAAATAAGGTTATATCAGGAAAAATGTTTGTTTAGAGCATCTTTATTTCTAGCATGAGCAACTGAACACGGAACAGCCACGTCTGACTTGCTAAATACAAATCTCAATAGTTTTCTCAGTGAAAGAAATGGCAGAAGCAGGGTAATAGTGTTTTACTCTTGGGTGCTTTTATCATCAGTCCTCATGAAGAGTCAGTAACATATTAGCAAGGATAAAGCCACAATGGAAGGGAAGGGAGTCATAGACTGAACTTTTTGGGGTGAATCACTTCGGTCACAATTGCTATGAAGGTTAAAGTTTTCAGTGTGAGTGCACTATTTCACTTTCTTTCAATATTATCACTTACAGGCATCCAGTTGATAAGATAGAAAAAAATCAACGCCCTTTGCCTCAGCACTGACTCATATGGTCACCCTGAAACAAGCTAAACCCAGAAATAAATAGGTTTATTCTGTTGTTTAAAGTAAACACAAGGCAGAGGTGCAGTTCACAGCTCCTAAGGAAGCAATCTTTGGGTTTAGCATCACCAGGGCTGAGCACAGTCCCCAGTGAGATGGGGAGGGTGAGCTGATATCTCTCCCCTCACAGCTGCTGCTGCAGCCCAGCGTCTTCATCAAAGAGTCAGTTATGGCAAAGGTCCTGATTTCTTTTCCCCTCCACATACAACTTGTCATTTTATTAACTCTGAGCTCCTTGTTGTGGCCCATTTCACAGTCTCTCTGAGGTCCACAAGCTATGTGATACCAAAGTTCAATATCGAAAATGTAAACTTATCAGACCATGGCCTGCAGTGGGACTGGTAGAAAATTGATTTCTAGCTCAGTAACTCCACTGAATTGCAGGATTATTTTTTTCTTCCTATCAAATCTTTTTATTCCTGTAAACTAGTATGTGAAATGGATGACCCCCTAAAAATAATTACCAAGGCTGATTTGTCAAACTTGAAACAGTACCTTGCTCTTGCTTGAGATCATTTAATAAATACTAACTTTTGACGAATTTTCAAGGGCTATAAATCATAAAAACAACCCAAACGCTGATTTGTGTGCTAGAGAACCTCCCCAAACGACAGCCCCACAGACCTGACTTGCTTTGACCTCCAAGCAGAATTTGACTAAGCAACTTTTCAATGGAAAATTGGATTTGGTTTCAACTCCAGGCTGTATTGATGTCCTCAGTGAAGAAAAGATATAAAAATAAAATCATAGAGACTTATCTTTTCTAAACCATATTGCAGCATTTAATGAAAAATGAATTCAGTCATCTTTCTCAAAAGAATATCTTTCAGGCAGCAAAATGCTCTGTCATTATTAATCAGGACTAACTGCCATTATGCAAACAGATATCATGAGCTGTACACATATTCCTGTTAATGTTAGTAAATCTCTAAAAGACTTGTGTGTTTCATTTATTTCCTTTTACTTCCTTCAGGAGTCTTTACAGCCTTCCTGTTTCTAAAACAAATGACTATTTTCTACCAAGCTGATTTTGAAGAAGATACGACCGTCCAGCAGAATGAAAGTACTGAAAGCTTTCAGAATGATTGCTTTACTTGGGAGGTCTGGAGCTATAATGAAGATGCTTTTTCAGAAGTAAGATGTTATGCATAGAAATAATTCCTTTCACTGATACCAGCAAAGCCCATTATGGATGGGAACACAAAGCACAGTGGCTCTGCTGACAGAGTCAATAAATAAATACCATAACATAAAAAATATTTTAGAGGACTTAGGCAGATAAAAGATTAGCTTTGTAATTAAAATAGCTTGTTGCATTATTTCTTATTACGGTGTTCATGCTGTCAGAGGACAAAAACATTACTGCCTTAAATGGTTTATGATTTATATAAAGGAGGTTTGAACTACTTATTTTAAAAGGCCATGTTTATATCTTTTTTATATCTGTACGTAAATATACACATGTATTTATATTATTATATATTATTTATACACACACATATATGTGTATATAATTATGCACATACATACATATGTGTGTATAAATCATGGTGTGGTTTAAGAAAATAAACCTGACCAAACAACCCCTCTCCCAAATTCCAGCCGTGGCTTCCCCAGTGAGGAGAGACACTCAAGCCTTCAAACCTGTGACCTGAGCCACTACAGAAATCAGATATTTAGGGTTATTTTCCCAACAGAACCAGGGCTTTCATCCATAACTTATCAACATTCGCTGCAATAACTATCAAATATAGGTATATTTCCAGGAAGCTGGACAAATCTTGCAAATTTTAAAAGTCAACTGGTGAAACCCCCACATCTTTCTTTCAAAGCCTCTCTCTAAAAATTCGTTGTAGGATCACAGCAGGTAAAAAGATACTGAAGGCAACAATAAAAAAGAGATGACACATCGAGCTGTTTCATCCCAGGGCTCAGATCCTGACAGGGAGCACTTTGGATTTTAATGCTGAAGCTTCATCTGCCCCTGGAACACCAACCTTACCGTGTGATTGCGCGTGAGAACCACGTCAGTGCCGTCCTGCAGATAATGGGTCTCTGTGAAGCTGCTGCTCAACAGGCCCCTGGAAAAAAACCAGAGCACACGGAATATTAAGGCCACATCCCCTTGACTCTGTCCTTTAGAGGTTCTGTTTGAGACAGAGATCAAAGCCAGGCATTAAGGACACGATGACTGCCAGAATGAGGAAAAATAGAACACCAAATATTGAAGCTGCAGGACACGAGCACTTCCTTTGGTAATTGTGAAAGGGCTACAAGTTTCCAGAGTTTTCTCTTCCAAATGAGGGCTGTGTGCCAGTACATTTCAGTATTGAATCTTCCATGAAATTTTTGACACATTTTACAGTAAATGGGAAATGTGGGCATTTGGATTATTGTTAAGTGATGATGGTTTGCTGAAAAGGAAAATGTTTCACCTGTATTCCTTATTTTACAATATAATCTGTTGTACTCATCAGCAAGTGACCACCCAAAGACTAATTTAGCTCTTGGTGAACAAAAAAACTTCTTCCATTGACACTCAAGGGAAAACACTTCATGAACATCACAGGAGTCAGAGCACTGGATTTATTCTGATAATCTGAAAAGGATGTTCATGAATGGAAATCTAACAAAATGATGTACCAGGAGATGGTGAGCCCATGTCTGTGATGAGGTACTTTGTTCCCATTCTTTCCACACTTCCCCTTCTGCCTTTGGCAATGAGATAAAAAATTTTTACTTACAATTGCCATTTCCCAGAAATCTCCAGAGAGGGGCATGTGTGCGACAACTATGAAAATTTCTCTTTTTGTAGTAAACTCATGGAACAGGGAAAGTTGCATCTGTGTTTTTTTTTTTTTTTAAAAGTCTTGCTACTGATCGGTTTTTCAACTCCTTATCTAAAGAGCATTTCTAACAAAGCCAGAAGGAAGAATCCTCATTCACATTTACTCCTAACATAGGTCTTGAGCTGTGCTCTTCCACACAAACATGTTTGAGTTTTGACAGACGTGCTGGTGAAATGCAGAAGCACAATATAGAAGAAACAAAAGATAAATGGCACCATCACTTTCTGAAAAGTGGAGAGTGTGGGGTATTGAAAACCTTTGGCACTGCATTTCACCATGTTCTCTCTGTTCCCTTTCAAAGATGTGTTTCTCCCCTGGGTTGCTCATCTGAACAAACCAGGCCCTTTCTTTTATTTAAAGCTGGTTAATGCTGCACTCTTGCAAATATACTGGTGCAAACCATTATACAGTCCCTGTACACATTTCTTGTGCTTTGTATAAACAATAAAACTAGAATGCAAACAAACATTCAGTTTTCATTCCCTGTTGATTTGCAACACATTAGTATCCAATGGCTTGATCAGGATCTGGTTGTGGAAGGAACTGTACAAACACTTATTGGAGAGAAAAGCTGTCTTTAAAAACCTCCATGTTAAGGTAGTAAAAAAAAAAAAAGAATTAAACAAGACCAAAAACTAAAAAGAAAATAAGAAGAAAGTGGCAAAGCAAAAGATGAAGCCCCAACACAATAATACACTGAGTATTCAAGAACAGATTCTCACTTTAAATTTTAAATTTTTCATGCTCTTGTAAAAAGTCCCTCTATGTTTCCTACTGTCTCATTATCACAAAGAGCAGCTGCTTTCTTAATTACCATTAATATTTATATAACAAAACTGCTAAGTTCTGCACTTAGCAGGCATTAATTACCTTTGTAAAGGCAAGATCCCATCGTTGAAGCCAAGAGAGTTTTACTGTGCACTTTTTGGAAGTGGGATTTCATACAGATGGGGGAGTGATTTTTATTTAATGGGACAAAACCCAGGCAAGGGTAACAGATGTAGCATAAGGGCAAAGTGATTGAGCAATATACTTGCTTTGTGCTCTGCTATTTCCAAAGTGTTTGACAGCAATGATGATAAAGGTGACCTTTCTGCTGCTGTTCATTCTGCCCTCAGGCACAGATTTAGAAAATACTTTGGAGATCCATAGGTTTTAACACCAGAAGGGAGCGCTGTGATCAACAACACGCCCTGCCCCATTACAGGGGTCACCAGACTCGAATTTATCTTCTGCTACAATGACAGCTAAGGAACCAGAGACTTTCTCTTACTGTAAAGAGCCCTTGCCTAGATCTCCCGTGGTAAAGAAACTGTCATAAGCCTGGCAGGCTTTTAATAGTTAACTAAACCCAACCTAAAACCACAGCACTTTGTATCTATTTTAACTGTGCCAAAATTCAATTTCCAGCCACTGGATCTCATTCCCTTGCATCAGTGCTTCGTTTTGGTTTGAGTCTTTCATGGACAATTCTATTTACTAAAGTGAGGAAACACAACAGGTAAACAAACTCCTGGTGTAGCTGCCATCAATCTCCCCATCAGAAGGAAAATTTGCTATCGACCGGGAAAATACTGGCTGAACATAAGAATTCTCAGTGGGAGCAGTAAAAGACTGGTAAGAGCACCAAGATGATGGACTTCTACTGTTGGATTCACCTAAGAAAAGAAGAAGTGTGCCCAGATGTCAAAGAGAAAGCTGTGGCTGCCCCATCCCTGGAAGTGTCCAAGGCCAGGTTGGACGGGGCTTGGAGCAACCTGGGCTAGTGGAAGGTGTCCCTGCCCATGGCAGGGGGTGGAGCTGGATGAGCTTTAAGGTCCCTTCCAACCCAAACCGTTCTGTGATTTTATGATTTCAAACCATGGAAATTTCATCTACCCCTGGGAAAATGAGAGAGCTTTTCAGGATTCTGCACTGACACTGCTCCGGTTCGGTAACTAAGACATCACTGCTGAGACATCTGTTTTCCTGCCACACGCGGTGCTGGTGCCAGTCTGACAGCAAGCCAGAGGAAAGGTTTTCTCCACACTGCAGAGGCTGGAGACCTCTATGAGACATGTTGCCAGGGAACCCAATGGTTTCTGGCAGAGAAAGAAGCTGTTATCCCCACTTTCAGAGTGTCCAATATCTTAAAAGCTCTACAGCCACATAGGCAGTGTTGGTACCCAGGGACAGCAAGGCTTGTCTTGAAAGGTTATGAAAATTAAGTGTAACAAGCACTCAAATTCCACTACTGAGTGTGCACCACTTCACTTTCCAATTATGGCAATAATGTTTAACATACTAAACAATGAATCCAGTATATGTATCTATTAGGTAATTTAATTACCTTCCCACCCCCCAAAGATATGCAATATAATAGATTGATTTACATTTCTGGGTTTGGCCCAGAGTAAAGGAGATTAATAGACGAAAGTAAATTAATTTAGATGGCAAGCTACTTAACCTAATTGGATCAATGTAATTCTAAAGAGCAGGAATCAAAATAACATTAATATATCATAGTGCAATTCATCACCATGTCTAGAGTTTCAAACGTTGCCAGCTACAACACTCAGCAGTACCAGATGATTATCAATATTTTGCCCTGCTTGAAGAGACAGAAAAAAATGCCACAGAGAACTGCATCAGCTGCTGGATATGACTGAAAAAAAATCAGATTAATTAACACCACAATAAATAAATAAATTGTTTGTTTATGCCCCAAAAATGCAAAAGTTCAATTCTTGAGTAAAACTACTTATGTACTGAGTCACTATGTTTGTCAGCACCGTGAATTTTTTCACATTTCATAGAATCAGAGAAAGGTTTGGCTTGGAAGGGACCTTAAAGCTCATCTTGTTCCAACCCCCTGCCATGGGCAGGGACACCTTTCACTAGACCAGGTTGCTCAGGGCCAAACTTCCCAGAGTCAAATTAACGAGTAAAAGCTTTGATGGCCCAGAAGGATAAGTTTTATGCCCCCTGATCTATGACAGACACAGCACAGGCTTCCTCATCCTCTGTAAGTCAGTAGAAAGCTCACATGTCAGATTTGCTGAAACATTTTCAAGTGTCAAACAAGCTTACAGTAACCTAAGCCTCAGGGAATATGATGAATGTTATTTAAACTTCTAATCCTCACCTTCCTGGCCCCCCACAAGGTGAAATCTTAGGTGGTTTGTTTGGGGAGGGGGAAAATGTCTTGATTTAAACACATCAGATTTTTTACTCCATCCATTTAATGACAGGAATGGTAGTTTAACACACTGCCTCTCACTTGCAAATGAGAAAATCAGTCTCTGCTCTCCAGGCACCGATATATTATCTCAAAAGGTTATAATGATATTTCATCACCCAGGGCGAGTCAGACAGACAGTCACAGAAGTTAGAGATGGAAAAAATCTAGTGGATCATAGAGAGGGCCTCCCTGGAAGCCAAGTGTGTTATAGATCAAATCAGGTGCTGTCTCATCGAGCTTCAAATGTCAGGGGTAATGCTGATCCCACACTTTCAAAAGGAGATTACTTTGCATTCCAACAGATGTTCCTGTCATGATGCATTTCCCGATATTCAGCCTGTTCTAGTTTTTCCTCGTCCACTTCTTTCATTAGTTGAAACAATTGCTTTCCTTCTTGGTACATATGTCATTCAGATAGGTGCAGATTGTTATCAAATTCCCCTTTAACCATCCAGGTACCAAGTGTAAAACATCAGGCTATAAAAAAATGACAAGAACTGTGCACTTTTTCATGTCAGCTACTCAGGAAAAATCTAAGCATCATCCCGCTAGGAGCAGACACCAGGGTTTCCCTTGGTGATACAGCAGAAAATGTGAGACCAACTTAGGGAGTAAATCTGTTTCTAACAGCACACAGGCTTGGGTTTCAGTCTGTCTTTCAGGATCAAAATCCTTTGGTTGCCCTCCGAGTTCCAGGCCATGCCCCTGCCATACAGATATAAGGGGAAGGCACCACTGGTTTTATCCATCAAAATGGATCTACAAGGCTCTCAAAGCCGCCCTGTGAGACTGAAGAGACACCCAGCAGCCGAGAGTCAACAGCTCTGCTTTAAAACCACACAGCAGGATGGCTGGATGCTCTGGCACATGTTTCTTCAGCACCCTGGGTGGTGTGTGGCTCTCTGCGACACATCTCAGCAGGATTATGCCTTGCTCTGGCATGACATGGAGCATCAAACTTGGCCTTTGCTCCAGCAGGGAATCGGGGCTGGCAGAAGGGACCCGAGTTTTT